CGCCGCGAGAGGCCGCGGGCCGCCGGAAGCCAGGGGCACCCGCCCGCGAGCTCGTCCTCGGCCCCCTCCCAGCTGGCGCCCAGGCCCCGGAGGGTCGGGGATGGGGCGGCGGGGCGCCTGAGGCCGGGATGGACTCCGGGGCCCACAGTCCCATGCCGCGGCCGTCGGGTTCGATGTGTGGACTCGGGCTCGCACTCCCTGCTAATTGTTGGTGCCAGTGGACGGGCGCTTGCTCTGCAGGTGGCCCTGGAGGGTGTCGGGCCCCGGGGAGGCAGCCATGGCTTCAAGGGCTACTTTCTCCTCTGTGGAGCTCCATCGCCCCCAGCACTCTGGACCGTAGTCGCGGCCTAGGAAAGGAGGCAGGAGTTCTGGCTCCGCGGCCGGCCTCCTGTCTTGCCTCCGGTGCAAGGTTGCCCGTCCCCTTCCCCCTCTAGGGTCCTCGTCTACAAGGAGAGAGATGTTGGACTGCAAGTCTAGCAGCCCTCTGCCTCCCTAACCATCAGCGTCCGAATCTATAAAGTAGCCTTAAGAACATTAAAATGGAAAACAAACACGAAGCGCAGCATTTGTGCATACCCAACATTTGAAAGTGCCTTGTATCAGGGGACACCCCTGAGAATTACCCGTGGGGCAGAGCCAGAGTAACTGACCTGTGCCCAGTTACGGGAGGCTCTTGACCTTCTCAGTTTAAAACCTTGGTTTTGGGGTGGGGGTAGGGAAGGGAGAGGGGAAGACGGACGCACCAGTCCCCCCCCCCCCGCGTCCTGGTGAGAAGGCAGGGAGAAGCTGTACCCATTTTACAAAGGGTGTAACCGAGGCACAGCCAAAGTTTCAAACGTCTGCCAAGCACATGCAGGTGGGAAATGGGTGGCTTGGGTATGTTTAGGCTCAAACTGTCCTGGAGCAGAGGGCTCAGGACTGTGCTGGCTTGTCTGGAGTTTGGGAGGGTGAAAGGCAGGTGGCCAGGGGCAAGACAGCATGGCTACCTTACCCCCTCAGCGCCCGCCAGGAGCTCGGTTTGTACAGTCTGCTCTGCTTCGTAGCAGCACTGGAGGCCCTGGGATTCAGGTTGCTCATTGGAAAGTTGAGGATACCCACAGGGTCTTGACCAGACAAAGAGGAGGTTAGCAAGGGCACCGCGGTTCCTCCCTCTTCCTTAGCGGCTGGTGAGCTCTTAAAGGCTCCACCTCCCAGCCTCTTCCTCCTCCTGGCTGGGGAGGTGGAGGCAGGGCTGGTGCATCCCAGGCTCGGACCTGAGCCCTGCCTCCCTACATCCTCCCCGCAGCCACCCGCGAGTCGGCTTTCGTGCATGCCATCGCTTCAGCCGGCGTGGCCTTCGCTGTCACGCGCTCCTGCGCCGAGGGCACCTCCACCATCTGCGGCTGCGATTCTCATCATAAGGGGCCACCTGGTGAAGGCTGGAAGTGGGGCGGCTGCAGCGAAGACGCCGATTTCGGGGTGCTAGTGTCCCGGGAGTTCGCAGACGCGCGTGAGAACAGGCCAGATGCGCGCTCGGCAATGAACAAACACAACAACGAGGCAGGCCGCACGGTGAGCCGTGGCTGCCCTCGCCCCAACCCTGCTGGGATCTCACCTGGGACCCTAGTCTTGCCCTTGGCCTGGCTTTGACCCGTTCAGAGGCCCTGTGCATCTGGCTCCCCTTTCCCTTTGGCCAGGCTTGGCTCCCAGCCACACCCCACAGCCACCCATTCTGTCCACCCTCCTTCCTCCTTGGGCTGTTCTTGATCTCTAGGGGATGAGTCCGCTGGGAGGTGTGGTCACCCTATAGGAGCAAGTACCCCCAGCTTGGGTGTGTAGTTGTGGAGCTGTCTTGGAATTCTGCCTCCATCCTTTCCTGTGGGTGTATGACCCCAGGCTAGTAAGGAAAGCTCCCAGCCTCAGTGTCCCTCTCTGTTTAATGGGGATAACAATTCCTATTTCCTACCACTTTGAGAAATGAACTGTCATGTCTGCTTGGGGTGTGATGAGGGAAAGCAGAACCTTCAGATCCATACCTCAGTCCCCATCCAGTCTCTTCCTGGCGCAGAGTAGTAAAGGAGGCTGGGAGAATGTGGGTGGGTGGGCAGAGTGGGAAGGTGCTCCTGGATGGGATCAGTTTGGGAGCCAACTGCTACTCCTCTTCCCCAGACCATCCTGGACCACATGCACCTCAAGTGCAAGTGCCATGGGCTGTCGGGCAGCTGCGAGGTGAAGACCTGCTGGTGGGCCCAGCCTGACTTCCGTGCCATCGGGGATTTCCTCAAGGACAAGTATGACAGCGCCTCAGAGATGGTGGTGGAGAAGCACCGGGAGTCCCGAGGCTGGGTGGAGACTCTCCGGGCCAAGTATGCGCTTTTCAAGCCACCTACCGAGAGGGACCTGGTCTACTATGAGAACTCCCCCAACTTTTGTGAACCCAACCCAGAGACGGGCTCCTTTGGCACCAGGGACCGGACTTGCAATGTCACCTCCCATGGCATTGATGGTTGTGATCTGCTTTGCTGTGGCCGAGGCCATAACACGAGGACGGAGAAGCGGAAGGAGAAGTGCCACTGCATTTTCCACTGGTGCTGCTACGTCAGCTGCCAGGAGTGCATCCGCATCTACGATGTGCATACCTGCAAGTAGAGAGCCAGGTAGGGCTCAGGGGCGGGAAGGGGACACTTGAGCTGCCCGGTCTTTTTTTGCTCCATCCATAGCCCTTTTTATTTTTTTGAGACAGGGTCTCTCTAAGTTGCTGAGGCTGACCTAGAACTTGCCATCCTCTTGCCTCAGCCTCCCGAGTCTCTGGGATTTCAGGCATATGCCGCCTCGCCCAGCAGCCCATCCCATTTATGAGCCACCCAAGACACAAAAGTTCCCACAGCCAAAATTAGAAGCCAGGACTTCCCAAGTTTCAGTAGAAATGGTTCTTGGACAGCAACTTGGTGGATTATATAAAGCACAGATAACCAAGTAGGCCACAAGCAACTGATTAAAACTCTTTTATAAATTAGTAAATTATGAGCCAGATGAGATTTTTGCTTGGCCACTGGCCTTCGTTACTGAGCCCTTGTGGAGTTAGAAGAGAGGCACTATGGGTTTGGGAGCTGGGAGACCTGATGTCTGGCCCAACTTTGTTTCTAACTTCCTGTTCTTTTACTTCTTGGGCCTCATTTTTCTTGCTATCAAATGAGGAGGTTAAAATACCTGAAATAGTGGGCCGAAATCTCTTTTAACTGGGGTAGAAGAGATTTGTACCTACCTTGAACTTAGAGGGCAAGTTTTTGCACAAACATGAACCCTTCCAATGTCAGGGAGGTGGGTGGGGAGTGTCGGATAAGCCTGACAGATCTGAAGCTTGGGTGGAGCGGGGAGCACGCTGCTCATGGAGTTTATGGATGATGATGATGGGGAGGAGGAGGGATTCAAGTTCAGAGTGACTACGATGAGTAATCAAGGGATCAAAGGCTGGTGGACTGTGTTCCCAAGCTTCCCAGAGGTGGTCTGCGTGGGAGGCCTCATGCCCTGGCCCTCGGACCCATAGGACACCAGGATAGGTCACCACGGATGCAGAGTGGTCCTGGAGCCTTGGCCTGGCAGGTTTCTAAGGCCCGAGAGGCCTTTCTTCCTCTTCTCTCCTGAGAAGGGCTCTGGTACATAGAAGCGTGAGCATAGGCTTTGGGATTAGGCCCAGCCCTGGACAAGTAACCATGTGACCCAGACAAGATCTTCCTCATCTGTCATCCTCCCCAGAGGTGCCATGAGCAGCAGGTAGAAGAACACCGAGGACAGTGCAGGGTCAATTGAGAAGCACTTGCCTACTTGGTCATGGCTTCCAGGGCAGGTTTGGGGGAGAGTAGCCCACTTGGTGCCAGGTGCCTTGGAGCTGGTGTGCTTGTCTGTGCTGTGTGGGGCTGGGAGCGGGATGGGAGGTACCTGACATCATGGGGAATAGCTCGGTTGAGAGGTGACCCTCTTCCCAGGAAGTCACTCTGGGAAGGTCAAGTTATGCCCTGACAGGGACAGAGCCCAGGAAGGCAGCCAAAGGCATGACCGTACTTGGCATCAGGATAAAAGCAGTGTGGGGAGGGGAAGAGGACAAAGGTGAGCTCTGGTGCCACCACTTGCCAGCTGTCCAACCACAGATCCCCAGCTTCCTCATTCGTATGGTGCTGGTGATATTGGGGCCGAACCCAATTTATAGGAGGCTCAAATTAGCTAACAGATGGGAATGCTTCTCTGAACACACCACTAATGAAGGGTGATAAACACTCTCAGAGCCTTGACACAGGGCAGGCATTGTGCAAAGGAATGGCAGCATTACTTTGGCAGCCTCATTTACTGCTTTGCAAAACGATAGAAGAAGAGTCAACGAGGAGGAGGACTCACCGGCCAGCTGTAGCCTGTCGAGGAGGAAGGAATGTTTGAAAACCACAGTGACCAGCTTCTGGTGCTCACCAGGGCCAGAGGCAGCCTCTATTAAGTGAGACATAGCTCTGGTGATCCTGAGAAGAGGCTGTGGGGTCAACAGGGTTTCAGGACACTAGATTGGATGGGGCCCGAGAGGGCCCTTGGTCAGCCTGCCTGTTTCCCCGATGGACACAGCGAGTTATGGCTGCGGCGAGGCCACAGCAGCAGTGCCCAATCCCATTGGTGGCTCCAGGGGGCAGGGCGCAGCTCTGTTCCTGTCCTTTGTGGCAGCCAACATCTGCCAGGTGAGGAAGGAGGAGTTGGGTTGGCCCTCAGTGTCCAGAATATCCCCCAATTCCACGTTCTCTACTAATACCTACCCTATGAAGAATAAAGTGTGGCTTGGTGAGGACACTTTCCTGGCATTCAGAGGCCCTGAGTTCATCCTCTGCACCACCACCTCCCCCTCCCCACACACAGAAAAAAACAACAAAGTAAAATAAAATCTGTGCTGTTCATCAGGCCTCTTTTCTCCGCACATTCTTAGTCCCAGGCCCCCCTACATGGGGACAAGTACATAACATTTCCCACTGTGGTGGCTTTTTCATAAACAGTTGGCTTGTCAGGTGATCCAGGCAAGCTCTTTCGCTCTCTCAGTCCTGTTCTCCTCATTGTGAACTGAGCCACGTCTCTCTGGACCGTCCCTTGGACTCAACCATGTATATGAAGAGCTTGGTCCATGGTCCTGTGTTCCTGAAGAGTTAGCTGAGATTCCCAGGCCAAGCAGAGTGACCAAGAGTGGCTTTTTGCTGCTTGGTTTGGAGCCACAGGCCAAAGATGAGCTGAGTCCTGGTTATTTCTTCCCATCCTTTCATCCATGTGGACGCTGCTGTGTGCCCAGGAGATAAACTGACAGGAACCACAGGGGACACAGCCTCCAGATTTCTCTTGGCTACCCTGTGAGTGTCGGCAGTGCAGGTAGAAAAGGTAATCATAGAGCCACACACCCGCTTCACACTTGGGGGAGAGCCCCAGTCACATTGGCTTGGTCCAGGAAGGGAAAAGACCTGCCTGGGTCCTTCCTGTGAGGTGAACACTTTTCCTATCACTCCTAGTTATGTCCAGTGCCTCCAGTTAATCACTGGTTGGTACCTTAACACTGGTACCACAAGTACCAGATTTAGTCCTTATAATTCCCACGTTGGGACCACAGTGAACTAGAAAGACTCTGGACATGTCAGGTGGCCTGACCGACCCTAGGCCCTGGGTCTGTCGCTGACCTGCTGTGGGACTTTGGGCGTATCCTTGTAATCCTGCTGAGCCTGTTTGACCTCTGTAGAGTCTGGTCCTGGCCCTGTCAGCCCCCGGAAGAGCTGAGGGTTGGCTGGGAATGCTTGTGAAGTGGCGTGGTGCCTCCATGCTTTGTGAGATAGAACTCCACAGGTGAGTGAAGTGCACGTACCCCTTGGTGCACGCACGGGAAGGAATTATGCATAGTTAGACTCTCTGCCATTTGGACAGCTCATCATCAGGCTACCTAGTGCCACACAGCACTTTGTGTGTGGCACTTGCACAGCCTGGGAGTGGACTCGAGGTTGGGGACCAGCACTCAGATGGGCAAGTTTCTCCATCTCTGCACAAGGCGAGTTCCTGCACTAGGGTGGTCACCTGGCCTCCTGGTGCCCAAGGCCCTCAGCTGGCAGTGGAGACATAGGATTTCTGTGTCCTCCCTCCCTCTGGCAGGCTGGAGGTCTGAGCATGGGGAAGCCAGGGCCCCTCCTCTCTAAGCATAAGTGTCTAGATCTCCTGTCATTGCCTCTGATCTTTGCACCCCTAGGGGTGTCCCTCTGGGAGAGGAATGAGGTTTCTGACTCTTCCCATTTGTTTTCCCAAAGGACACTGGGAAGGGGTAAAGTGTGCGGCTGGGCGGATTCACCGAAGTCCCACGGGAAGCAGGACCTAGAGCCGGCCAACCCTTGGCATGCGCCAGCAAGGAGCATGGACTGTTGCCAACTGCACGTGGGAAGTGACCTGGACCCCGCCAGTCTGCCGATGGGAGGCGCTCCCCCCTCTCCCATCTTCACATTTCTCACCCTGCTCTGGACGGTGTGTGGTTTTTACAGAGGGGCTTTCTTTTTAGTTCTCCAGGGTCTGGTAGGAACAGACCCGAGGCTTACCTTTGCACATGTTAAAGAAAATAAAAATGAAAAAAAAAAATCTACTCCAACAGAACAGGCTGGGCTAATGCGAGCTCTCGGCCTGGTGGGAAGGACATGAGCGTGGGCAAGAATCTGTCTCCAAGCTGCTTCTGATGGTGACATTCCAAGATGCCTGTGAGGTGGGAGTTACAAAGTAGGACAAACCCCTGCAGTCTCCTTTTCTGTCGACTCCCATTCAAATCTGATACACTTTCACATTCTGATAAAAGCCATAGGTTTAGCTAGGATGGAGTGGTGGGGAGGTCCCGGCGATCGTTAGAGGAGGATTTTGAGTTTTGAAGAACTAGTTCTGGTGCCCTGGTAAGCTGTTTGAAGAGCAGCCGAGTTCTTCTCAGTCTCACTTTCTCTATAACCCTGTTCTGCACGAGAGGCCGTCAGATCTCAAAATCTTTTTCTACCATTCTGCACTTTCCATCGTTAATGCAGTAGATTTTTTTTTTTTTTTTTTTGGGTAGTGGGCATTGTAAATAGGTCATGTAGGGAGGCAAGTCTTCTCCAGCTCAAATGGCTTCCTACAGCAACAAGCAGTGTCTTTGGAGGGGACTTTTCAATCCTAGCCCTGCTCACCTGCAGATTCTCCATAAAAAACAATTCCAGGTAGAGCAGAAGGACTTCAGGTCATCAGAGAGAGAGAGATAGAGAGATATCAGGGTTTCCTCTCTAATCAGACCAGGTTCTCCTGCCACCTTCTCTTTATGGTCTCCGTGAATAAACAGAAATGCAGAGTTCTTTAACGTGGTTCTTCCCTGTTGCCTGCATGTGAGATAGCATCAACCCTTATGGTTTCAAGGATCTAGATTAGGTGTTCAAAGCGGGCAAGCAGTCACTTGCTCCCGGGGGGAGATCCCCCAGCAGAGTGCTCCTTGATGCACACCAGTCCTGGTGAGTGTCCTGGAGGCAGCGAACCAAATGGAAGCAGATGGCTTTGACAGTCCTGATCAATCCGGCGACTCTCTTAAGGAGATTCACAACAGGGAAACAGAGCAAAATAAAGATGTGTCTTTCCTTTCTCCCTCTCTCTTGGGTCTATCTAACCCTCACCTAAGGTACCTGGTCAGTGATTCCCGGTTTGTGCAGGCAGGCTTTCCAAACTGTCATCTTAAAGCCTGCCTGGCCTTTTGCACCTGCCGGCCATGAGCCCTGCTAAAGAACCACATCCCACCCCTCTAGAGTCCCACACGCTCCTCCCCATCTCATCTTAGACTGAAAAGTTTTAAATCACATCAACCGGTTAATGCTTGCTTTATGTGCGAATATTTCAGCAGAATGGATACAAATTTTTAAAACAGTCTTTTCATATCTATGTATTCTATATTAAAAGTGATAAAGTCATGTTTTGGGGACGTATTCAAGTAGCTGACAAGTAATTATTTAATAATAGTTCATGAGTGCATTGTAATTATTCTCGCTGTAGTCAGGTCATAGTATCCAACGGAAATTTCCTACCAACCTGCTGTATCCAAAGTTTTGTAAAAAGTTGTAGAAGTTGTTGATCTTTTTGATTTTATATTCAAAAAGTCTCTTTTTATAAATATTATTTATTATACAATGTATATACCTTTGAGTTAACTAAGATTATATATTATATAAATATATATATATTTGGAGAAAATATATTTCATCATGCAGTTTTTTTCTGTTAAGCCATTAAAGAGAAGGTAAACAAACTTAAAATGGATACATTGTACCATGTGTGGAGTTTCCAGATTCATGCTCAGGTCAAGAATATGACATTCTGAATGTGGTAGCCTAAGCTAATTAAGTGACCAAATTAAGATCTTCTATTCTCTAAGCAAGATCTTCTGCGATGTCATGAATAGTAGGTCTGATCTACTTCAGAACTCTCTTAAGGGCTTATTTTGCTGTAAGTCAACTTCTATCAAGGAATTTGGGCTGAAATTAATTTCACTGATTCAAATATTTAAAAAAATTTTTTGGTTATAGATAATACTTTATTTTGTTTACATATATATAATTTTATGTGATGCTGAGGATGGAACCCAGTGTCTCACTCATGCTAGGCGAGCAATGTACCACTGAGCCACAACCCCAGCCCAGATTCAAGCATTTTTGATGTACACATTAATGTCCCAGATATTCCTAAAAGAAGTGGCCCAAGGCCAGCAGATCAGGGGGCTGGATACTGCCTTAATTCTTTCCTCACCATATTTTCAACTCCATTTGTTGGAGTTTGCGCAATTGAAAATGTAACTTGACTGGAGATGGCCCCGTCCTGCTAGTTCTCCTGAAGAAGCCAAGCTGTAGAAATAGTAGGTTGGCCAGCAAGAAGAAATGGTGTGTCCTGGGCTCTGGGTGGTCGGGAACAAGTGTCACTTGAAGTTGTAGGCTAGTTTGGGCAGAAGGACGAACAGGTGGGTATGTTCCAGGGAAATGGTTTTCTCTCCTTGGACTGGGGCTTCCAAAGGACTCACCTGAAGCTCCCAAGTTCTGAGTTTTCAATGGCAGAATGCTTTCACTCAGTTTTATAATACACAGTCCTTTAGTTTCAGACCTGCCCGTAAAATGCCACCTTCAGTTTGTTAGGCACATTGTTTGAGAATAGCTGAATTGTTTTTTCTCTCTCTTCATCTACCTCTATTAGGAACAAATGTTACCTCACTTCATAAAAACATAAAACCAGGAAACCACTGTCTACTTTGGGCAGTGGAAATGGGTTGTCTGTGCCCCCCCCACACCTATTATTGCTATTTGTTGTTGTTATTATTTTGGAAGCCTGAGGATCAAGTTCAATGTGCACTCTACCACTGAACCACATCCCCAGCTCGTTTTTAAATATTTTTGAGACAGGGTCTCACTAAGTTGCTAAGACTGGCCTCAAACTTGAGATCCTCCTGCCTCAGCTTACTGAGTCACTAGGATTACCGGTGTGCATCACTGTGCCAGGCCAAATCTCTTAACTTTAGGAATGGCCACTCAAAGTTCATGAACTTCATACACATACACACACACACACACACACTCACACACACACACACGCACTTAGTTGTAGATGGGCACAATATCTTCATTTACCTATTTTCATGTGGTACTGCAGATTGAACCCAGTGCCTCATGTGTACTAGACAAGTGCTCTACTGCTGAGCTATATCCCCAGCCCTCAAGCAATATTATTTTATGAAGAAAGAAGGGAAGAGTGCATGAGTTTAAGGAGGAGGTAGAAATATAGGCAAAAGGAGAGAAGGTAAGGAAGTAGAAAAAGCTGAGAAAAGCAAGGGGAACCCTGATTGTGGGATTATTCTAGATGTATCTCCTTCAGTCTCCATGTGGCCCTGGGTACGTGGACTTGTGCTGATGTGGCAGCTGCTTTACACACAAGGAAGGTCAGTTCAGCTAAGTACGGATGCTCTGCTGTCCTCACTTCTAGCTAAATGGAGAACTTTCTAAGACCACCAATCACTCTCACAAAAGAGTGAGGCAGAGTCAGTCATGTGGAGACTGTGTGCTGGGAAAATCTCAAACCTGAGTACTCCTTGCAAATTCCATCCTCGCCTACTTGGGATTCGAGACAATCACAGGTGCTATCTCTGCATCTCAAAACCATGGTGTCCGTGTGGCACACGCCCTCTGTGGGCTCATCCCTGGGATCCAGTCTCGGCACAGTCTGCCAGCTGATGAGAAACTTTAGATCGTTTTGCAATAACTTCTGAAATTTACATGCTTTTTTGAACTCTCAAACACACCTAGCCTAGTCACTTCTTTGAAGAGGCTGCAGACCAAGTTGCCAGGCAAGGAAAACGAAAGCCTGCCTCTGCCGCTGCCCTGTTCAGGCTGGACAGGTGATCAGAATGGACTCAGTGCTTTGGCAAGGCTTCTGACCAGGATCTGATTACTATACACATTTGAATTTATTCCACGATTTTGTGATACATGGCCAAAACTTAGAGGGCTGACTATTGAATAATTTTTAAGCTATAGAAAGACAGCCTTAAAGCAAAACTTATATTGGATATTAACTACAATTAGTTTTTTTATTAAATTTTTTTAAAAAAGTATCACCGTGAAGATGTCAAAATCTAATAAGGATAAAATACCCCTTTCCCCCTTTTAGTGACATCTTTTGGCAGCCCAGTGGCTGCTTAAGCCACCCACAGGCAATGGCCTCCAAGGCAGTGGCTGGGTGGATTCTGCCTGTGTTCACCAGCCATGCCGCATACCCACGCACTTCCAGAACCCACCTTCTGAAGGCAAGGTGGGGACCAGCCGGCCTCAAGGTCCTCCCCTCTAAGGTCCTGGGGAGCTAACTCTGCTGCTGAAGTTCCTGCTGATTTTCTGAGCTACCCCTTGCCCTAATCTGGGCCAGTGTCAAGCATCAGGGATCAGCCTGGAACATAATAGCTCAGAAAAAAAATGTAAAAACCATGAAGGACACCAAAATGACCCACGGAAGAAATCTCACTGAGGGTGCTGGGGTGCACATCTCACAGGAAGGAGCAGTTCTAACAGAAACAGCCTTCTCTGCTCTGGTTTCTTGCTAAAATTTGTTTACGACTCTATTTTCCAAGATAAAATAAGCGTAAAGCACAAGTATATAGGTTCTTGCTGTTTATCAGCATTTTGGTATGCTAGTGATCTCTTTTTCTTTTCAAATAATTGTACTAAATAAGAGATTTTTAAAACAAAAATCCTCTACCTCCTTTGGCTAGCTGTAATAAAATAGAGAGGTTTCTTTTTGGACCTCCTTCCTCTTCATAAGCGTCTGTCGGATATTGTTTTATATGAAATACTGTCTACGAACATTTTCAAGTATATTTACTCTTTATTGCATTCCTTCATTTGCATTAAACAATATAATATTTATCTTTTTCAATATAGTTTTGGACAGAACACAAAGACATTATCCTTATTTAACAAGAGACATAAGTTAATACAATGTGTGCTGCTTCTCGGGAGGAGGGAAGAGGCAAGATGGCAAACAGGTTGGGGATTCAGGACATGGGCCACCAGGGATCACAAAATTCCACAATAAATCCACTGTCATAAAAGCCACAAAATGAGCCAGGGATGAAGACTCAAAACAATAGTATACAGAGAACAAGATTTGGAGATGATTGGCCTTCTACTTGCCACACCCAAGTGCCACTGTGGCAACAAACTGGTCAGAAGTGGTGGCTTCTGACCACCTGTCCTCGTGTTTTAAGCAGCAGTGGGAGAGTCGTGCTCCATATGTCTCATCACCATATGTGATAACCTAATTAAATTCCTTCCAACTCAGTGATAAGACAAGTCACCCTCAAAAGGACTCAACGAGTTCTCCTTCCCTTTGGAAGAAGCGTGTAGAGGATGAGGGAAAGGATCAGACGGGTGTTCAAGGGCTGAAGGGAGAGGGTGAGGACGTGGCTTATTTCTCTGGATAATAGTGTTTTATTTGCATGCTAGATAGTAAAGATAATTTAAAATAAAGGAAGGACAAATTCTAAGTAAGTCATTAGGCTAAGGAAAAGAGAAAAGTGGTGATACTAATAAGCCTTTTATATTATCCTAAGGAATTGACCCACTTAGAGTTGGACACTAATTAGTGCTGAGAGGTTTGTAAATTACTTTATTTTAATAATTCCTTTCTGTTTAGGGGTGTACATTTTTCCATACATATCTTTCATAAGTTTTTAACAACATCTTCTGAGTGGTAATAATTAGCATATATCTTACCACAGAGCAAATTAATTATATCAAGGGGATGTCACAGCCACCACAGTGACAATTGGACTTTCTAATAAGAAAGATCTCCTGATTGCAACTTGAAAATATCCCTGAAAATGATTAAGAACAGCATCTTAGATATTCAAAGCCCTGTTTCTTCAGGCAATAATAACCAGTTCCATGGGAATACCTTTAACCAAATACCAATTACCGTTAGTGTAAGCGTAGGGGAGTTGTATAGAGTCCCAGAGAACCCACGCCTCTGCTCACTGCTCTTGTTTTGCATGCAGAAAGTCGACCTTCTAACAAGGTCAAGTGTTGTCCTGCAACATTTGTTACCTTTACTAATAGTTTTCAGGTGGTACGGAGCTTCAAATGTGTAGTGTGCACAAATACAGTATGGCTCCCACACAGACTCTGAGTAAGAAGGAACCACCTCAGCTGGGGGAAGGTAAGCACAGCATCTTAAGCAGATTTACACTTTCCACAAAAACACCAGAATATCTCAATAAGCATGAAGAGGGGAGTGTTTTTGCACTAATCATGCAGTGAGTGCAGGTTGAAGGTAGAGAATGTTTCACTTAGTCCAGTATCTCCAGCAAGATGAGTGAAGATCCCAGGCCATCTTCACCTTGGTCATGTCCCTTGGTCACCGTGTGTTGCAAAGAGTCCATTTTCAATCAAAGTCAAGAGGGCTACTGCAAAAGAAGCACCAAACACATACACATAAAAACAGATGAGCACCTGCAAAAAGCCATTCATAATGGAATCACTAGCAGCTTCTTAATGTTTTTGCTACATTTTCCACTATGCATTTGCTATAGAAGGACAACTGACAAAAGAAAATGGTCACAACTCCATGCATTTAAAAACAGGTTCCAATAAATATGTACCATCAAGTTTTTCCCTGCATTGTGACAAGGTAGTTTTGCGAAGCAGGACAGGGAGAGCAAACCAACAGAACAACCAACCTCCTTGCTTGGTCTCTCATACCTACAACACAGTGAAGAATTCTAATAAATGAAAACAAAGTTATATTGGAAAGAAACTGTCAAATTCATATGTACTGTATGCAACTCTTAAGTAGTTACTGGGATTTGACAGAGTGAAGTTTAGTCTGTAGTCTTAAGTGCTGTGTGTACTTACGCTCCTTCTTCTCTCAAGAGGGCCAAGAATTTTCTCACGCGGTATTCAGGATCCATCTAAATACATCAGAAGAAATAAAGAAGACAAGTTAATGGTGCCTTCTAACAACTATGCACTTACTTCATGCCAAGGAAATGCTTGGTTTCATACTTCCAGTAGCACTCTGCTGACTCACAGGAATGTGTCAACTGCTCCTTGACCACTGTTCTGATGCACAATAAAGCAGATTATATCATTTAGGAGAGTGGGATTTCCCAACATGGAGAATGGCTGAGTGCTGGGTTCAAATGACCTGATCCAGGGTCATTCATGGTCACCTCAGCCAAGTGCTCTCTCAGCTGGCGCAGCATGGGGAGGCACAGCACACCTGTGAGGCATCATTGTGAACCAGACGGTGGTCAGTCCAAGCAGTTCAAATGACATCCAATTCCCAGGACTTCTCTAAGGCATAAAAGTCTCATTAGATAACCCAAATATGGCTTATTAACTCTATGTCAATCAACCATTGAGCTTTTCTTAGCCTCAGTGCCCTTGCACAGTTTCTTCTTTGCAATTAATGGAACAGTTGCACTACAAATAAAACAAGAATACCGCTGACTCTGATGCGCTCTCTAGGTAAACTCTCTCTCAGGGACCTAGAATATGTCATGGGTCTAAGGAAAGATGGCAGGGTTCTGATTCAGGTGTTGGTTCAGGTTGTTGCTATTAATTATCTCTCCTGGTTTTCATTTTATATTCATATGTATAGTAATTTGTTAAAATATATTTTATTCTTATTGGTCTATCAGAGATGTGAAGTTATCTAGATAACAATCATTAAAAACATCCTTTAATTCTTTAAGATGGATTTTTTATTGTAAGAAACACACCTCACTTTTAAAACATGTTCTAGGACAGAAGTCTATTCCCAGAAGGGAACTCCCTACCCTCCAGGAACGGTTTTCAAATGCTCAGTGCAGCTGTGGGCAAGTGTGCAATTGGATTCCCCCCTCCAAACACTTAAAAAAAATTCTCTTCTATCCCAGAAAAACATTGAACAGAAGTTTCAAATGTATCACAGTTAAGAGGTCAGACTACAAAGGACTAAGAAAAAGTGTGAATAGCTAACAAAAGAAACATTTTTCCTCTTTGGGAATAGAATTACATATGAATCAATTGTCAAGTTCTTAAAAAAAATGGAACTAGCTGGAGCTCAGTTGTAGTCAGTACTTGCAGGTCTTTGCCCATTAAATATATTTAATATGTGTGAGCAACGACTTACTGACTTGCCTGTAGCTATGGAATTAAAAGTCAAGAGAAAGGGAGGAAAAAAGTAATCTAGATAAATGACTTTATTCCCTCAGGTGACATCCAGTCAGAGCAGATCCTCAGCACTGTGCAAGTTTTAACAGAATCATGCTCGGGGAACAGAGAGGGAACATGACTTACATTCTGCTAAACTACATGCCTCTTCACTGGGGCTCAGTCTCTCTAGGCAGATCTAAAGAGAAGTCACTCAGCTGCACAGAATCCATTTGACATGAAGGGGCTCAAACTTGGAGGCCTATGAAGTGTCAGTCGCTGAAGATTAGGCCTGAGCGCCCCACTCTCACTTTCTACCCCACATACATAAGAAGCATTAACTTGATCACTGACCTCAGGCATTAAAGGAAGAGGAAGAGAAGGGGGCTGGGGTGAAAAACCCACAGAGTTTCTTCTGTGCAATTATTGAAAAAAAAATTGAGTTGAAACTAGAAGAAGAAGAGGAGGAAGAAGAAGAGCAGAGCTGGCTTTCCAACAGGTTTGTCTTTTTTCAAGGAAAGTGCCAGTACACCTGTATGGGAACCTTTACCAGAAATAAGCTTCAGCAAAGTGCTTGGTCTGTGACTCTAATTTATTGCTCATAATGGAAAATAAATTAAAGTTTCAGTAGGCTGAACTTTAGGTTTCTAAAAACCACAAAAATATTATTTTAAACTAAGCTTATCACAAAGGATTAAAAAGTACTCACTTCATGTTTCTGATTTGTTATTGCTCCAACGGCCCCCTCTGGATGTAACTGAGAAGCTGAACTCCCGCTCTGCCACCCCCTCTCACACTGGTGGATGGGTAAGACCCCTCAGCAATGCGCCATGCCTATAGCATTCCACCCAGGACCGGAGATGGAATCATGCATTCATTAAAAGTTAACTGAGCACCCTACTCTGTTTAGCTCTGTTCCAGGGCTTTAGATAGTGCATCTGAACTCACTTAGCTTGGTAGGGAGAAACTGATCTAGTATGTCAGATGAGGGCCAGGAGACAGGATGGGCATGAAGCATGGAGTTCCAGAAAGAGTAAAGGTAAGTTGCCAATAGTTGTGAGAAAGTTCCAAAGAAGTTTCATCTGTTTCTGCCCAGGAAGCAGAATGGGGCTCAGTTTTCCATGAGATCCTAGATGCTTTAACCCTATAGTAGTTTGCATGAAATTTCTAGGAGTCCAGTCAGGGAAAATTATACACAGCCCAAGTCCACTCTATGCAATGCAACCCACCTGTTCTTTACAGAAGTCTCCCAGGCCTCCTCTCATATACATGCAGTAACTTACTGATTTCTGATGATAGCACATTCTTCCTCCATCACTAATTGGCTATGTGATTTTGACTAATTTGCTGACAACCTGAGTGATACACAGCTTTCTTAAAACAAGAGGGCAGCAGAGCAATTGCTATTTTTTTGGTGGTGCTGGGGCTTGAACACAGGGCTTCATGCATGCCATGAAAATACTCTATCACTGAGCTATATCCCCTGCCTAAAAATCACTCTTTGAAGTCCTTTCTAGTTCCAAGATCTAGTGATTCCTTAAATTAACAGCTTGAGTTCAGAAATAATATCAGAGAATTATAACAAATGAATTAAAACCTTAGTGAAGGAAATATTAAAACCTCTTGGATCTGGTGCATGGTAAGGCACGCCTGTAATCCCAGTGACTTGGGAAGTTGAGGCAGGAGGATCACAAGTTCGAAGTCAGCCTTGACAACCTAATGGGGCCCTAAGCAACTTAAGAGACCCTGTCTCAAAATAATAAATAAAAAGGGCTAGGTATTTATTTTAAAAATAAAAAATAATAAGTGGCTCAGAGGTAAAACTGCCCCGGGTTCAATCACAATCTCAGAAACAACAAACAAATAAAAAACTCTAGGTGTATGGTGAACTTGTTTCTCTGGATCATGTGGAGGAAGCTCCTTACCTGCAAGGACATCTCGATCAACATCAGTAGCTTCTTGATTCCTATCCAGACTTTCTTCCCTTTGACTTGTTGTGCAATTGTGGTGCGTTCCTTATCTTTAAAATTGCCCAAAAGCTACAAAACAATAAACAACAATGAAGTCCCTCTAACATCAACAACATTAATTAATTCTCACATTCATCCTGAAAAGAACAGTGGTAGGAAACATCTGACTGAGTTAAGCTGATAGGATTCCCTCCTATTTTAAAACCAGTCTGACCTTCCTGAACCCATTAGGTACAAGCACAAAAGCAAAAGCTGGTATCTTAAACCCTGTTTGTCTTTGGATCTCCATTGTTACTCAGAGATATGTTTGCTGGGGAAAAATAGCTCCAATCCATAATAAATACAAGTTAAAATTTTTAGCATTCCTTTCTGGGAATAATCTGTATGTTGTCAAAGCAGACTAGATTTAATTCTCTTGCCCAGCCCTGCCACAAAAACTGCTCAAACAGGCAACCTGGAAACATTTGTCGTAAGGATGATTTTGTTGGGAGCACGCACGCACCATGGGTGGGGAAGGCTGTGAGAGCTTATGGCCTCCACCACTGCTCAGCAACTTGCTAAATCACCTTTTCCAACAGATCTCGTCAAGTCATCTGTGCACATTAATATTAACCAAAGGTTTACTGCAGCATGTATTTTTTTTTTTAAAAAACTAAAGACTTTATCATCCTCAAAAAATTTCAGAACATTTCCACATTATAAACTCATTAGGAAACTTCTTTTTATTTCTGTAGCTTTTTTGAAGTTTTGAAGGCTTTAATTACTGTTCCAATCTACTAAATGCAAGGAAATGTGCTGATGGCCACTCTAAATAACCAGGTTATTATTTATATGCAATGATTATCTTACTCCCCACCTTACAGCTTCACCCATCCAAGTCCCTGGTCATGGACTGTGTATGCATTCTATGCCTGTGGGGCGCAGAGTAACTCATTCCTGCAGTGAGTGCTCTGCCTACCCTGAGGAATGGGGAATTAATGCCCTGATACTTGTATTCCTCTTCTTCCTCTAATTCCTGAGAACAACTGAAGGTACTATCTCAGGGTTCCATGTTCTAGGTTAAGTTAGAAACCAGACACCAGGTATTCTAGCTGTGTACCCCTCAGCATGATCACCAGCCTCAACTCCTTTCTTAAAAACAGAGTGTAACCCATTGACTCATTTTCACCTCCAAAGCTTCCAGTAGCTGCTCTCCAGTAGCAATGTTGGGCACGTGGATGGTGGTGCTGAAGGCATTAAGCATTTCCATTTCCAGAAGGACATCTTTGCGGCTAGTGGTCCCAATGATAAGAAGCTTTCGGCCCTGAACACAGGAAGAAAATGTGTTGGAATGCACAGGTTAAGACTATTTAGGAAACTAGAGTACTAAAGACTGAACAAAATGTGCAAAATCTATTTATTTAGTTGTGCAAGTGTGAGTGCTTTGGCCCGAAAAGAAAAGATCAGGAGTTCCCTCATGAAAATCTGAAAAAAAGATGTCTACAACATGATTCAAAAACAGCATCTAAACATCTTCTCATTCACAACAGTAAAACAATGGATCGTTAAATCAGAGAGACATGCAAACTGAACAGAAAGACACTGAAGTGGGTGTCTGAAATTCCTTCCTCAGAGACAAGATGGCACTATATGGTGAGAACTGGGGGAGAAAATGAATGAATAGAAAGTCGGTATCTGCGGTTTAACAAGGCTCTATTAGGTTTTGTAGAAGAAGCAGGGTATGACAGTTTACATGTGAGCAACACTTAACTGTGAAACGCAGAGACTAAGAGTTCTACATAACTGTCTCATTTAACATTTTTAAATCTCATTTTTATTTTACCAAGATTACGTGAAAAAATTTTAAAAACCATGCCAGGCTAGTGCCACATTTCTGACTCCCCTCTCCAAGTCAATCATTTCTAGCTCCCCTAGCCTTTTTTCTTGAATTTGCTCTCTTCTCTTTTGATAGCAAGGTGCTATTTTTAGATTTTTGTGAAATACCATTTCTTGATGCCTTACTATGGGAGACGGGGCTTTTCCAGTTACTTGTGCACACTCCTCCCACTGCTTAAAAATATCAGGTGATTTGAAATTTGGGTTTCTTTTCCCTCCTGGTGTCCATTGTCTTCATGGTTCAATCTGAAATGCTCACTCTGTACATGTGCTGTACATATGTAGTTCTAGAACTTTCCTCCTTCCTCTGTGAGATCTCCCGTGTCCTAGACTTCCTTCTCTTCATTTATTTCCCCTTTTCTGAGGTGCAGATACCCAGAAAATTCCAGAGGAAAGTTGCATAAAAGGTAAAAGCGTAGACATTACATTTCTGGAAGTTCTTTATTCTGCCCTTTTCTTTTCTTTTTCTGTTTCTACTTGAAAATCATATACCTTGAAATGGGTCTTTCTTTACTCATTTTGCTGGCACTAGATGAGCCCTTTCTCAAGTGGAAATTCTAATCATTCGGTTCGAGGAAATATCTTGGATGGTTTATTTTCTCTGTGACTCACCCTTCCCACTCTCCATTGGGAACCTCCACGAGTTGGATACTGACCCTCTAAGACAAATCTAATTTTTTTTCTTTTTGTTTGTTTTTTACCTCTGGTTTTCATTTCTCTAATATTTTGGGGGTTAACATTATCTTCTAATCTTTAAAATTCTTTCTTGTTTCCTGAAAGCTTTCCTTTTTAACTATACCCTATTATATTTCCTTCTTCTCTTTATTGTTATTATTGTTTTGCAGCACTGGGGATCTAAGCCAGGCCATCCTGCATACCAGACATGCGCTCTACCGCTGAGACACACCCCCAGCTATTCACCCTATCCTATTTCCCAGGTACAGTATCTTATTTTAGGTCTCTGTGAATATTGTAGATTTTTTTTTAAAGTCTTCCTCTGTTCCCTGCTTTGTCTGTTTCCTCTGAGTTCCTGCTCCCCTACTTGTTTCCTGGAGGCTTTCCTCAAGCATCTGGTGATATCGGGCAACTGTTCAGTTAGGCTAATAACTGGAAGCTCTGTGTTTGAGGGCCTCACTCCAGGAAGGTCAGGAAGACTTGGTTGATTATTGTGGTTCTCTCAATGATCAGTATGTATACATTTTTCCCAGAGAAGAGTATTCCAGTATCCTTCCTGAGGGCCACCAAGCCTAGATACCAGCATGCTGGAAGTCGATGGGTCAGGGGTTTGAGAACCTCGCCATTTAAGGCGAGGAGACTACCACTTAATCCTATTTGCTGTATACTGTCTCTTCAGATCAATTCTCATTTAGTCTTCCTGTAATCACACAAATTAAGTACCAGGACAATTCCCGTTTCACTGATGAAGCTATTAGTCTCGCAGATATAAGTGATTTGTTTAAGGTCATATAATTAATAAATGAAGGAGCCATAAATAGATACCAGATCAAATTGTATGCTTCTGCTCTTCATGAAGAAAAACACATTTTAAAAGGTTTGCTTAGAAAATGGAAGATAAGTAAGTATTAAACTTATATGAATTATACTCTTCTTTCTTCTTCTTTTTCTTCTTCTTCTTCTTTGAGTGGAGACTTGAACCCAGGGCCCCCTTCATGTGTGGCAAATGTTCTACCATGGAGCTGTACATCCTATTTATTTCATGAGTACTATATCTCATTTTAGATTTCTGTTATTATTTTTTTTAAAAATTATAATATATGTGGATTTATGGTACATACTCAGACCATATATTAAACCTATTTGTGGATCTTAGAAACTCAGGACATCAATATTACTGTGCTAGTAGGGAAAGATCTTAAGAAACCAAAGAGCAGATGCCAAATAACTTGTTTGGATTTGTGAACATTATCTCATTAGTGTCAATAAGGCATGCTACCCTTTCTGAATGTATTTGCTTATCTGTGCAAGGAAAGAACAGGGTACCACCACGAACAAACCTTTAAGAAACCCAGTCAGGGTTCTCTGGTACAATCAGCCATTGGTATAATAGATGACTGCAAAGATTCTGAGATGGAAGTGGTCTGTGAAATATACAGATTAAAGGCTAAGCATTAACAATATTCAACCAGCTAAAAATCAAATGCTTAAAAACAAACATTTACCAAGTTCCTAGATGAGAATGGAATGACTATATAGAGGGAGACAGATACAAAAGGAAACCACAATGCAGTACAGAAAGGCACAGTGTCATGCGCAGTGATGTCAGGCAGAGGGAAGAAATATGTGGCAGAGAAAGCGGCTTTCTCTTGAGGAGCTAGGACCTGGATTAAAATGATGAGTGGGCTGATTAGGAAGAGGAAGGGGAAGTATATTCCAAGCCCAAAGTAGCAGAAATATAGACACTGGGGTGATTACAAACACGTAAAGACATGTACATTTCTACTATAGCAACATAAAAATGGTGGCTATTTTTTTTTACTCAAAAGTTTTTTTAATTTTTTTGTTTTTGTTTTGTTTTGTTACCAGGAATTGAATTCAGGGGCATTTGATCGCTGAGCCACATCCCCACTCCTTTTTTGTATTTTATTTAGAGACAGGGTCTCACTGAGTTGCTTAGTGCCTGGCTTTGAAATCGCAATCCTCTTGCCTTAGCCTTCTGAGCCACTGGGATTATAGGTGTGCATCACCATGTCGAGCAAAAGTTGTTTTTTTTTTTTTTTTTTTTTTTTTAAATACTAAACTGTAATGGCAAGCTTGGGAACACATCCCTGAAGGCTAACAGGTAATAAATGTACCATGTGCTGGTATATTCTCATTTCAAAAATAGTAATAATAATAATAACTATTATTATTTGAGGTAAAGGTTATTGAACCCAGGGCTTTGCACATGCTAGGCAAGTGCCCTACCCCTGAGTTACATTCCCAGCCCTTTTTATTTTATTTGGTATTGAAGACTGAACCCAGGATGCTTACTACTAGCTACATCCCCAGTATTTTCTTTCTTTTCTTTTTTGTTTTTTTGAGACAGGGCCTCCCTAAGTTGCTTAGGCTGGCCTCAAACTTGCAATTCTCTTGCCTCAGCCTCCAGATTGCAGGCATGTACCACTGTGCCTGACTTATTATTTTTTGAGATGGGGTCTCTCTGTGTTGCTGGGCTGTTCTCAAACTTTAGGGCTCAAGTGATCTTCTCACCTCAGCCTCATTACAATTAAACATAGATGATACTTCTCTTTTCCCTTAGGTTTTAACACCCCACAGTTCTAATTCAAACTCTCTCATCGTGTTCTCTCTGGCAGAGGACAATGTATGGCCCTGAGGAAGAATCTTCTTGCTCATTACAAAAGCTGAAACTTTCTCTCACAGTAGTAACAGTGACTACACTCTTTATAGTGTTGAAAGATTGGGAAATGCACAGCAACTTATAATGGAGACGCTAATTTATGTTTTGCTTTTCTTCTTGTTTAACAAGACTGCAAACACTGCAAAGAGGTCACGACCCAGGCAAGTTCAGGCCTTGACTTACAAAGCATCATCTTTAAGAAAACACCGAAAAACATTACTGAATAATTAAGTTGTGCTGGGTCATTTTGTATATTAATTAGTGGTAACGCTCAGATGGAAGCTTTCTCATGAAGAAGCTGCTCTGAATGCACTCACGCTAACAAATGCCACTGGATAATGTGACTGGATAATGTGACGGGAAAAGCCAGCAGTAGCACGCAATGGGGGTGCAGCTCTAAACAGGGCTCGACCTAAGATGGGAGATTCATCTTGTTCATGTGTGGCTACTGGTCTTAAGTCCACAGTGCCCAAACATACCCCTGATAGAAAGAAGAACAGCAGTGATAATTTTTTTTTTTTGGGAAAAAAAAAAAGTCTCACCCAATATATTCATTATTGAGATTAGCTAGTCCTGATGCTGTAAAGAAAAGACCTCAGTAAAATGACTATCTGCCAATAGGATTATGATAAACATTGTTCCAAGGTTAAATAAGTATTAGTTAACTAATTCTCAGTTCCATATGAATTAACTCAGGTGAAAACATTACCATGAAAAAGGCAGGGCTCAGTTAGGTGTTGATCCTTAAAAAAAAAAAAAAAACCCACTTCTTTACAGGATGAAGAATGAGCAACATCTAAGCCTTTTGCCACACAAAGGACTAACCAGATAATCCACACCCTTTCAGAGGTCTTGCCCATTGATTGGCCCCAATAAACTGATTTGTAACAAAAGTTCATGTGGAAGAAAGCTCCCCCCTCCAAATAAAAATACCACCAATATAATACCGCAGTGAAATGGAAGGGCTGATTTCAACCTATGAACAAAAGTAAAGTCAGTTATGCAGAAAAGAAAGGCCATTCTTTCCATATCATTCAATGCTGAGCAAGTGTAATACACCCTTGGTAAGA